AAATATATATTATTACTAATAATAATAATAATAATAGAATAATATTAAAAATGTTATTATTATTATTACTATTTTTAAATATTATTATATTAGGACACAAGGTGGAAATGGGGAATCCACATTGTTTGGACGATTATGTTAAACAACATTTTGAGACCCACTTACTTAAAATACAGGTTCGTGTAAAATATCATAATAGAGTATAGACCATAAAAAATTATCTTATAGTTACACTTACACTCAACTTTTTTTTAATTTCCACTAACAACAATCAATGAAAAAACTTGTATAGTTGTATTACATTTTATGGTTTTGGTGTATTTTTTTATCGACATTATAATATTAAAAAATAACTCATAAAAATCGAAAATTTCATACGCCATAAATAGCTCAACGAGTCAAAATTCTGTGTCTAGTTATTAGATATGTAGAGATAGACTCTTTATAAGTCTATGATATATTGTAATTTTTTTTAGAGTTCCACCAAAAACCAAAAAACTGTTTTTGAGTAAAAGTTCTCGTTTTCCCGTAATTTGTTATGTTTATAAAAGGAAGCAATAGAGTTTAGCAACCTATAGAATTATAGATTCTGAGAGGAGCGATGAATGTATTGATTTTACATTGATGTTTGTATTTATTTTTGAGTGATATCACTGTTTGGGCCGTTTGGGGCAGTAAGGGTGCTTCGATTTTCTTCAACGGCAACTTGTCTGGTATAGGAAAGTGAATCTATTAGTTGATATTTTCTGAAGAACGTTTGAAGTAAGACATTGCCACAATTGATATTCACTCGTAAATTAACAAATTCTTATACAACGATTTTTTTATTTTGTTGTTATACATTATACAAAAACAATTAACTGTAGGCACATGAGATGTACATCAAACATTCAAACGTTTATTATATACATAATACATTATACATTATTTTTTTTATTTAGACATTATTATTACCTGATAAAATTTTCAAAATATTTTGACAAGTTATATATAGCCATATTTGTAATTTGTACATTTTTTAGTTTTTAATTCCATACTTTTCAATAACATTTTATTCGTTTGTTCAAAAAGCTTGATAACTTAATCCAAGGTTCTTTATAAGTTGTTATTATAGTATTTGATGAGTATTAAAGATACATAGGTACGATTTTTTTATATGTATTAAAGTTAAAATTTTGATAAATTTTTTTAAATGTTGAAATTAAGCTGTAGTAAAACAATTAAATGTTCGATTTTTATAGCTGTAATTGAAAATTGAAAATTATTAATTCTCATAAATAGTTCATACTATAAACACCTACGTAATGTCTGGAACTAAAAAATCAAACAAATATTTTAAAAGTTATTTTTTACAGACATTTAAAGTAAATAATTGAACAAAGTCCCCTCCCCCCCATCCAAACTACCTCACTATGATTAACGGATATAACTCAAAAATAAATTATTTTATAGTTTTAATTAATTTATCTACAGAGTTTTAAGTACTTGGCTGCTCACTACTGAATATCCTATTGTAATTATTAAATAGGTAATAAACTAATAACCTATGAGTCACATATCGTATATGTGGAGTCATCCTTAAAATATATTAGGTTAGGTATAGGCATTGGCAGTGGATGTAATACACTAATACCACTGATTAAATATACTATATTTAGTATTGTATATTATATAATAGTTACACTGTATGGTGGTTTTCGCCTAGGCTGTAAATTCTTGTGAAAATCACGTTAAAAAATGCTTGTAAATAGACGTTGCTCTGCGAGTAGAAAATTTAAAAAATTTGCTTTTAAAAAAAATCCTGCGTATGTATTTTTAATAATTTTAAACTGATATAGGTATTGAATCAATATATCAAGAGCCTTGTATTAATTTTTCACGTTTTTTGACCCAAAAAATGTAATTTTATAGATTTTTGTAAAAAAAAAACTAAACAAAGCTTATAACGAGTTAAAATATTTTGAAAATTGATGAAATTGATGAAATAAACATATGGTGTACGTTTCAAGTGTCTACAGTTGCTCATTTTTAGTTACAACAAAATAAGAAAATCGCTGTGAATTCAATGTTGTAAAAATGTCAACTTCAAACGTTCATAAAAATTTGACATTCCAGTAGAACTTTTTTTTTTAATAAAGATAGACAAACCCATAAGGAATCTTATATTAAATTTTTAAAACTGAGATATAAAAATAAACAGTTTTTATGTCTCATAAAAATATTATATATTTTTACTATATTTTCTAATTAAAAATAATTTGCTAATTTTCGTGATTCTTACGAATTTTGTCAAAATTCAAAATTTAAACGCTCATAAAAAGTTTTTGTGGATTTCAGCTCAATTGTTTTTTTTTAATTTCGACTAACAACAACTTACGAGGAACCTTGTCATACATTTTCGAGATTTTTGACGAAGCGAACAATTTTTTATCGACGTTAGTTAGACTAAATAATAATAAGACAAATCATTGTAAAATCGATACATTTATCGCTCGGCTCAAAATCCAAAAGACACTTCTATACCACATTTAATATTTGTGTACACAATAGATACATTGATCCTTTATTATAACATTTTAATACTAAAATATACTTATCATAATTCGTAGAATGAGCAACAAGCATTTACCACATTTGTCAGTATAGTTACGTGGGTAGCCCATGTGGGTATCGTGTAATTTTTATTATTATAATTGTCATCTAGGTATATTTTGACCATGACAAAATTAGGTATTTTGGTGGTAAGCTTTGGTAACGCTGTGAGTAGAGACAGAGACATGCCTTCGCCTTCATGACTTCATCGCCAATGATCATCTTTTTTTCGAAATTGACCTTCGACTAGTCCCAACGTTTAGTATAGGTACCAACTAACTTACAACGAATGCTTTCAAACAGAACGTGTATAAACGTCGTACGCCGTAATATCTTGGTGACTTGGTGTATAGCCCTAGAGCATTGTAGTTCTTATCTAATGCATAATAGTTAGGTATGTATACGTTTGACATTTTGACATGCGTGTAAATATAATACCTGTGCGCGTATAATGCGGATAGCGAAGACCTTCATGCATAATTCAAAGCACATGCCACACATTACTCAGCACCTATAGGTATATAGTTACGCGTAAACATGTTTTCACGTAATTTAATAATGAACAACAATAATAGGTATGTATTGTATTAACGTTAAATATTAATATTTGGCTTATTAAACCAACCAAATCTAGCCGCTGAAATAAATGATTTTAGTATGGCCGAAAAAATTTAATCCGTATTATTTTAATGTCCGACAAACACGAATTGTTGTGACTTCAGTTTCACAGTAGCACTAACGTACCTAATAATACAGTAAATTTCACGATTATTATTATTATTTTAATAAAATAAAATATGATGACATTTAATTTTGGTGAATACTAAATGGTAAATAGCAGTATGAGCACGCAGTGGCGAACACACGGGGGTTTTGGGTGTCCGCCCCTCCCCCAACCATCGTTGTTATTGTCTTACTGTATAGGTCTAATATAATAAGTGGATGTATAAAAATTAAAAATATTTTGACATGTATACATATATTTTTTTTATACACACCCTCTCATTGTAAATATCCGTGTACGCCACTGATAGCAAGTATACTAAAATAAGAGTAAATAAATATATATTTTGTTCGTGCTAAATGCATATCGTTTAAAGTGCCATTTCCCCTTGACAGCCGTAATTGGTGAGCGGTGGCCGCGGTGTCTTGACTAGTGAATCATGATCACTGATCAATCATCAGCGACATAAGATTTGTTAATATTTTAAAGTGTTTATAGATATTAGTTGATAATTGCATTGAAATGATGCTATTATTATACATGGTTAAATAATTAAATAATTATCTATAAACATAAAAACATTGCTTATGAGTTATGATATACGTCACTCGTTCCGTGCTAGAAGACGAGGACCGGCCGAGTGT